CCTGCTGGATTAGTTTGTGTAGGGGGCCGGTGAAGGAATGGGGTGGAACTGATCTTGCTGAGTGTCGGAGAAGAGATGGGATGCAGTGGTTCTGCGAATGGAGGTGCAGCCGTTGGCGGGCGCTGAAAGTGTCCGCAGCGCGCAGTCTGCACCACAGTCGGCCTCGGAGGCCCGGAGGGACTGAGCCGTGTCTGTGATTCCCGGCTCGGTCTGTCGCTGAGCCTGTTTATCCCTGTGTATACCTTTCGGTTAAATGTGCTGGAATGAGAAGTGACGTGCAGACTTCACCTCCTGCTCAGATACCAAAATAGCTTTGTGGTTCATATCAGATCAGCAGTAACCTTGGGGTTGGTCTCCTTAAGCCAAGCGTCACCTTGCTTGTGTGGAGAGAAGCAGTATTCCTCTTCAAGTGGTAATAAATTTAACCTTCACTTGTTTAGTTTTTAGTTTGTCTTCCCGCTTCATGGTATGAAGTTCCTAACAACTCTTTTTCCTTCCCATCTTAGTGACCACTGAAGTTTCCACCATTTTAGGATAAATCTCTCTGTTCTTTGAGGTTGGAAATTTAATGGTAAGGTTTAAAACTCTGTGGCGTTGGTATACTTGAAAAGGGGAGCTCTGTCATTCTCTGCATTTTGAGTGTGCAGTATAAACATGCCACAGGAACACAGACAAAAGTCAAAAAGAAGAGGGAGAAAACACTCATGGTTGTTTTATACAGAAGACGTAATGGTGAACGTTTATGTATAGATTCTTCTAGTACTTTACAAAGCTGAATTTATTTAAAATAAACCCACCGCCAGCAAAACAATAAAGCCCAAACCTGGATAACGTATAATTGTGGTGACTCTGGGTGCAAAATTTTGGATGTTCATTTTCACTTAGTGTGTAAATAGAAGTATTTCGCCGGTTACAAATGCGTTAAGCTTTTTAATGAACATGTTTTCTGTTTAGTACACTTGCCACCTGGTTACTCAGTCCCTTGTCACTGACACGTAGATTATTGATGGTTTTCTCTTTCCTCTTTCAGTAATGCAGTAATGACCATCTTTGGGATTAAAGCCTAGTCTGCATGTGAGGTCGTCTCAGTAGGGTAGAATCCCAAGGCTGAAATGAATGACTAAAAGTTTTAGATTGCAGTCTGCAAAATTACTGTATGAGAAGGTACATGGTGCTGATATTTCAGCAAAAGCTTCCTATTGGGTATCTAAATTGAGCAGCGTTTGGTAACTTATTTTAATTCTTTTTAATTACTTTTTTCCTCTCAAGTGACTAGGCTTTTTAAAAGATTTTGGTTAGGGAAGAGAAAATCTGGTCTATTTAAGGCTCTTGACATTCTTGCTAGTAGTGACCATGTTGGTGGTTTACCAGCGCACTTGTGGCTTTCCAGAGTTTTTACGTGACCTTTGGTGAGTGAGAAAATGCATTTTGCACCTGAATCCAGGTATGTGTTTTATGTTCACAGACGCCCATGGAATAGCACTTATCCTTACACGCTCTCTCTCTTGTTTATTACGTTCTGAGCTATTTTGTTGTTTATTTCATTTTTTTTAAAGTTGATTCTTAGTCCTCTAAGTTGATTTCATAACCCACCGAAGGGTCTGACTTGCAGTTTGAAAACCACTGTACTGTGTCATTACATGGCAGGTAGTGAATTCAGTGGAACACGGGGTCTGTTTGGACTGCTTTACTTTCTCTGTGGGGGTAGGAGTCCCGTGTATCTTTCTAGTGGCATCTGGGATGCATATGTCCTGCCGGGGGGCACACAGCCGTTGGTGGGGTGGGCTGGCGGGGACTGGGCCGGTGACCGGGCAGCAGGTTTTAGCCTCACCAGCACAGGCGCTGCTGCCCCAGGTCGTGTCCGTGTCCGGGGAGAGGTCTGGAGGCCGGGGAAGTGCAGGTTTACTGAAGGCTGTTGACCCTGAGTGGATAGTGGGGCCCACCCTGGAGCAGAAGTAGCCAGGGTAGGACCCAGCTTTCACTCACGTCTGCTCCTTGAGAAACCGGGTGACCTCAACGTGGATGGGGGTCTTAGAAGCAGAAACAAGGTTTTGGTCCGTGGAGGGAGAACACCTGCCCAGCTACCTGGAGGATGCAGGTCTGACCACCTCTCTTGGCCTCACCAGCTTGCCTCGGCTGCCATGTGCCCCGTGCCATGTGTTGGTGTCCGACCCTGTGTGCTTTCTGGATTTCCTCTGCCAGATTAGAGGCAGGTCCCCAGGTGCCTGGAGGAGGAGGCTGGCAGTGACCCACACAACGCTTTGCCCCCTCTGCCTTCTCAGAAGGACAATGTGGGTGACCGTTTTACCCGAGGGTTTCAGAGGGGTCCAGTGCGGCTGAGAACCCTCCCCATCCGTTGGCTACGGCAGCCATAGAGGCCGTGTCTGTGACCTCGCCTGGACACTGAAATGGACGAGAAGCCGCTCCCATCCCCGGGTGGGAGCATCGCTGCCGTCGGAGCTGATTGCTGGTCCTGTTTCCTTCAAGGGCAGCTCATTGTATCACTCGGACAAGTGACCGTTCCCATTCTCAGCATAGTCATGATGCTGGTGGGAACATAAAGATAAGCTGGGTCTGTTGTTGATCGTGGATTCCTTGGAAGTTGAGGAAAATAACTGCCTCAAGTCGAATTTCACCAGGCCTGGCAGATTGCAGTAGGAAAAAGTGGAGGGAGTGTGGTTTTTCCCAGCCAGAGGAACCTGCCGGGGCCTGCTTCCACCACGTCTCCGTGTCTCGGCTTTTGCAGACGAGTAAGGGTGCTTGTGTGTGACGACCCTCACCTGTGCTCGGGGCGTGCATGGACTGCCACTCTGGGTGGTTCTGGAGGGAGGACCTGTGCGTCCTAGTCACCTGCATCTCTGTGTCTTCAGCGCAGGGCTGAGTGTGCCCACGGAGCAGAGAGAGTTGGGCCCGAGCTGCTGTGGTGCCCTGGAAACAAAGTGGAGGGTTTACGCATTTTAGCTTTTGTGATGGTTTTGACTCGGGTTGTCTGAAGCCAGCTGCGGGTCAGCGATGGCCGGCTCTGAGGCAAGCCAATCGCACCTTCCAGGGCGGCTACTCTGAATGCAGACCTTGTCCTGGCTGCCCACCGTCCACCCTCCGAGGCCACAAGGTCAGTCCCTTTCCTCCTGTTCCCCAGAATCGGACTATTTGAAAGGTAGTTTGTACTTACAGACTGAGGTAGGAGGAAAATGCTAGATGTGACTTTTTCTTCTGAAAACGTAAGTTGCACGTCGGGGCTGAAAGCTAGGAGAATACCGTAGGCGATGGTCTTGTTTGCAGTCGTGATGACCAACTCCAGGCTCACAGACGTGCTCTGGGAGGACACACAGGGACCAGGCAGCAGGGTTCAGGCTCCGCTGGGGAGAAGGGGCTGTGATGGGGGTCGGCCCTTCTGTGTCATCTGTGTGTTAGACCGCCTGCCCGCTGCACATGGGAGCTACTTTACTGTCCCCTGACATTCCTGGGCACTGCGCTTGGGGCCCAGGCTCTGTGCCACCCCGCCCCCAGGTGTTCTTTCACGTAGGTGCCAGTGTATTTGCCCCACATTGTGGTTCTGTTTTCCATCTCCAATATGATCTCCTTTTATAATCTTATTTAGGTTTTTATTTGGCTTATTCAGTTTCTTTAAGTGCTTGCAGATGGTTTCTGACCTCAGGAGCCATGATTTCCGTTGTCAGAGCTTCTGGCACCTGCTCTGGAGGTGGCCCCTCGGGGAGCATGGGCGGTGACTGCCTTGCCTCATCTGCAGTTACTCCCCTTCTCGTCCTGGACACCCGGGGGCTCGTGGTCGTTTTGCCCACGGTCTCTGTTGCACTTGCCCCCGCCTGTCCTTACTCTGGCGCAGCTGAGCCCCTTCTGCTGTCAGTTTCCCTAAACGATGCTGCGCTTGCTGAAGTCAGTGTATTGGGTCATAAGACACATCCGTGTTTCATCTTCATATGGGACCCTGTGTTTTATTTTTTAACTCTTAAAAAGGGGAAATCATAAATGCAGTGAGTAGGATTCTATCTAAAATTTTCCCACCTGTTTTTGTCTTTTGATCCCTCCCTCTTTTTTGGTTGGGATAGACACAGTAAGATGTGATATATGTGTGGATTTTGTTTAAAATAAATTGGAAGCAGCCTTCCTTCCTAAGGGGAGTGGGCGGTGTTTTGTGTCCCCCTGGGGAGGTTTCTGTGCGCGTCCTTCACTGCCGTGGAGGGAGTGGGCTTGGGGGCATCGGCGTGTGGGCCTCAGCCGACGCGCTCCGGTCGTGGGTTCTGGTGACCGCTCACCTGCAGGTTGTCGCTCTGATGAAGTGGTGCTCTGCCTCTCTTTCCAGGGCAGAGGGCCTCTCAGCTTTCTCCTGCCCTCACGTTTGTTGGAATTTTCTTCCCCATCTGGAGGGCGGTGATCAGCTGTCCTGGCACCGGTGCCCTGGCAGGAGCGTCCTGCCCAGGCTCCCTCTTCGCGTCTGTTCTGAGCAAGCAGAATCGCTCCCTTTCTCCGGTCTCAGTAGAGTTTCCAGCCTTCGCTCTGAAAGATTAGGTTTTGCCTTTTCAGAAAAGAACAGCCTTAGTTAAGCAGAGCACTGGGTGCCGATTCGGCGGAGACACCCTGCTTGATCACCTTTAGCAGGGAGCTAGCACTCACTCAGCCGGAAACGCAGGCGAGTCTGTGCTGGCACGGGACTCTCTTACTGAGTGTGACAGCTTTGTCCTGCCTTTCAGTGGTGTCCTGGGTGTGGAGCAGACGTTTAAAAACAAAGTGGAGTTTTGGGCTAGTAGATGTCCAGCCAAGTGTCTGACTTTCAGGTAGGACTCTCTCAACATTCTAAATAGCAAGTGTTCGCAGTTCTCAGTTGAACCTAGAAGAAGCCATTACCACAGCTCCTACTGTTGGTTTTTTTTCCAGAGTCCTTGAGTGTATTAGCAATTTAAGATTGGAAACATTGACAATCTTGACTCCCTTTAGTTATCAGATGGGTATTCATACGTTTCCTTTTTCTTTCTTTAAAGATTTGAACATGGAATTCAACCCTTCAGACCACCCTCGGGCCAGCACAATATTCCTCAGTAAATCTCAGACGGATGGTAAGTTACTAATCTTTCTTTCTCCTTTCTTTCCTTCTTTCTTCCTTCCTTCCTTTCCTTTCTTTCTTTCTTTCTTTCTTTCTTTCTTTCTTTCTTTCTTTCTTTCTTTCTTTCTTTCTTCTTCCTTCCTTCCTTCCTT